GCCCCGCCGCTTGCCGGGAGCCGGCCCCTCCCCCCGCGGTCTATCTTCCCGTCGCTTTGGATTCACTTCTCCGACCGTCCTACCTTTCAGAAAGTGGTTGATTTTCTGTTTCTAGAGTTGCTGTTCTTCTTCTCTTCGATCTCCCGTTGGATTTGTAGGTGTTTGCAATCTTTAGATAAGCTATCTAGCTGATCTCCCGCTACCTGAAGTAGTCTCAGCCTGCTACTTCTCCGCCATCTTGACTCCTCCCCAAAATATCATTCTTAACCTCTTCTCCCTCCCTCTAGGTAGGTTAGCAGGCAAGTGAGTGTGATCAGGGCCTCCCTGTCCTAGGAGTTAGAATAGTGGATGGATGGCCCTTAGACCATCTACGGGAATGGTCTGTGGGAAGATCTTAGCATCTTCCCACAGCTGCTACTATCTCTATTTCAGGAATTCTTCAGAGATCCATCCATCCTTTCCTCTCTCCATCCCTCCCTCCCTTCCTTCCTTCCTTCTTCCTGTTCCTTTAATTCATATATTGAATTCAAGTGTGCTTTCCACTTTTAGTTTGTATATTATCTACTTCGTATATGTCAATGATTCAAAGAGTCACATGGTTCTATGAGGTTTTTCCATCTCTTCCACCAAAAATACATAAGTAAATGAAACAGCTGTATCCAGGATGAATACAGCTATAGGACCACTGGTTACTTTGATATTTGGTACTATATTTCTAAAAATAAAAAATCCTATAACATTTCCTGATTTGTAGATTTAAGTATAATCCTTTTTATCATGACCATAGAGAATTACCACTTAGCTCCCCTCACCCAGACACCACACAAATTCTTCCCACTTCTCACTTTCTCTGCATGATTGTTTAGTGATTTGGATTGGGACAATGTTCAGTGGCTACATTATTTTAACTATTAATTGCTTTTCATATCACATGTACTAAACTGATTATAATTATTTTCCTTTGTTATCTTATTCCCTTTAGCATTGATAATTTTTTGCACATTTTTGTTAACTTTCTATTGTACACAACGCTAATTACTTCAAGTTGGCAAACCAAGGAAGTTTCTTCTCAACATGTTTAAAAGCATCTGGAATTATATCAATTTTTTCTTCTTGAAGAGGTTTCTTTCAGAGCTGTTGACCTGCTCTGCTTTGCCTGGGTGGTCAAATAGGATTCTTAGGTCTCTAGTATCTTCATACTAGATTTCCTTTGTCTCTTCTTTGAGTTGAATTGCCCATTTCCAGTATCCTGCATCTTTTTATTTCTTGGATTACTTTGTTTGTCAGGACTTATATACTGGTCGATTCAGAACAGTTGTATAAGAAGAAAAAATTGTAGGTAATTTGCATTCTTACAGTATCATTATTCTATCACGATTTCTGACTGAGGCTTTGAATTACAGAAAGGCTTTGATTACAGAAACCTAGGCTGGTAATACTTAAGATTTTTGAAGGCATATCTCCATTACTTTTTAGCTCCAGTTTCATTGTTGAGAAGTCTGCAATTTATTAGGTGTGTTGTCCTGTATTTCATTTTGTTTTCTTCACGAGAATGTAGACAGGTGATAACTACTAAATCTCAGTGTCATAGACCAGTGTTTATTCCTCACATGTTTAAGATTCAGCTGGGCAGGTCTGCTGATCATTCTTAGGCTCACATCATGTTAGCTGATTTTGATTGGTGTCCCAGGGTTGAGTGAGGCTCAGCTCTGCTCCACTTGTCTTCTCATTCTTCAGTAAGCAAGCTTGAGTGTTTACCATAGTGACAGCAGAATGGCAAGAGAGAGAAACCAAATTGTGAAAACATATTTCTGGCTTACAGGGTGTCAAGTTGGCTAATATCCTATTGGCCAAATGAAATCTTATGGCTGAACCAGGATCAGAAAGTTATGCCTCTCTCCTTCCTACCTCCTTCCAATGTAACAGGGAAGGGGCACTGGGAAAAACAAACACCAGAGATAGAAAGAGTTTTAAAAACTGCAGACATGTTTGCAATCTACTATATACTGGGATATTTCCTTCAAATCTCATGTTACTTTTTAAAGAATATATTAGGGTTTTTTCTGTACATGAGACAATACTGAGCTCTGTATGGTCTACATATACTTAAAACTGTTGGATCTTGGATCCTAAGATTGATTGCTGCACGTATATCTGTATTTTATATCAAAATGAGCCTCTTAAGGTGTATTTTTATTTTTTTTACTTGGCTACATCTTAACTGAAATATTAGATGAATTGTCCAATAACAGATTCAGTTAAATCATTTGAAAGGATTCCATTTGATCTGACTTTGCTTATATGCCTTTGTGCCTTGAACTGGTGCCCTCACCTCTTTCCTAGTGTTTATTTAAGCCATTGTTCTTAGGGTGCGGTTTATCTAAGCCATTGCAGTTTATTTAAACCATTGTTTCTCACTTGTGATGAGCACTGGGTGTTATATGTAAGTGACAAATCACTAAATTCTACTCTTGAAACAATATTACGCTATATGTTAATTAACTAGAATTTAAATAAAAACTTGAAACTAAAAAATCAAAAACAAAAACAAGAAAACAATGAGGCTGAAATTCTGAATGGACTAATTAAAATTGTACCTGTTTCCACTTGTCTCTTAGGTTGGAGTATTATTCTAAACCAGAAGCAAATTTTGGAAGAAATTGGAGTGTGGCTGTGAAATATTTAGCTGCAGCCCTCTTTCCAACAACTTTGGTCAGAACATATGAATTCCAGAAGGGCCTGCCTCCACGAATGCTTGTTAACGGGGATAGAGCCCCCTTCATCCATGACTTTACTGACTTTCAAAACATGGTTCTTCTTGTTCTAAGTTTTCTTCGCCAAGTGGATAACTCTCCAGGTAAGAGCCTTGTAAGCAATACCTCAAAGAAAATTAATATTTCATTGAATAAAGGAAGAAATAATGATTTTATTAGATACAGAATTCATCATAACACATACTGTCAAAGAAAGTCATGATTTTCCATGGGTATCCATTCCACAGTTTTTGGTCCTTCTAAGGGTGGCCTGTCCTTTCTTATGCATCTTTATTGATCCATGAAGCCAACAGACAGCCTCCAGTCCCCTTTTCATCCACAAACCCAGATACAGTCCTTTGCTGCTGTTACACTATTCCTTTTTTAAAAACCTTACACATTGCTCTTAAATTTAGCAAAAAAAAAATAAATAAATAAAGAAATCTCAAAAGAAAACATGCCATGATTAATGGGAAAAACTAGCAGATTGACTTACATGAGCTCACTTGATCTAGTCTTACTAGCTGTGGATGAAATATTCTGCTGCAACCCCTCAACTGTAGGGCTTTCTTCAGAATGAAAAACAGAAGGAATCTATAATTGTACCTTCGAATTACCACATCATCTCAATTTTCTAGATATGGTCTTAGGCAGTGAACTAAGCTGAAAACATTAAACTAAAATAATTAAAATATTACGATTTTTAACCCCTCCAAAAGAATCTGAAAGATACAAAAGCAAAGTAAACATAAATACATTAAATATATGTTTTGAAATCTTATTTGTATTAATTCAAGTAAGAAATAACCCCAAACATTTAAGGCTTTCATGCAATGGCAGTTTCTTCTTGCTGTAGTAATGGTTCCAGTGAAATATTCTCAGTCAATGGCAGTTTCCCTTTACACAATGAATAGAGGAGTAAGTCCCCTTCTATCTGTGCTTGTTCCAACCCCTGACTTCTATATAATCTACATGCCACCAGCAGAAAGATGCTCTCATGTTTGGAGAAGCAGTGGGGTAGGGAATTAAACTGTTGTCTAAGGACTACTTTTGTGTGACAAACTATACTGTGAAAGGAGAAGCATGAATTTTGTTAATCGCCTGCCAAATTATCAGATGGCATAAATTGCATAGGCTTGGGTTGTATAAACTGGATTTCCTCTTAAGATGTACAAGGTGAAGAACTGAGTGGAGAGTGAAAGTTATTTCATTTAAAGCTTGAAAGTACCATTGTACAAGATTTCATTACAGATTAACTTTTACTGAAATTTGGCTTTGTGTCACAAGTTTGAATTGCTTTCACAAAAAAAAAAAAAAATGGGAGAGTAAATGTTGAAAGTTACTGGTGAAAAAATGGTGAGCCTTCATAGCGTAATTGTATAGACCTTATATAACAAGGTACTTACTGTTGTCAAGTTGTCATTTTCATGGCAACCACTCTCCACTAACACTCAGAATTCAGTCTGTGTCAAAGGCCTTGGAGTTTTCAAATAAGCAGAGAATAGAGAAAACAGATATACTGAAAACAAAGCATGAGTGAAAAACAAATACTGATACTTAAAAATGAGCATTTTCAGTTAATCTTTGATAGAAACATATGTATACATTTACAATAAAGTTTAAAAGTGTCATGTAGCTACTTTTTAGTCTCCAGAAGGATTTTCTACAAGAAACTTAAGCTAAGTTCATTAAATTTAATCTACAAAATAAAATTAACCTTTCAGGCTTCAAATTAGCTTTTTAACATTTTTGCTGATGGTAAGAATTGGCATGGAGTTTTTAGTTTGTAATTATGTAAAATTCTGAACCATCTCTTTATCTATAGTGGCATCAAGTTTTAATCCTTGACTATACATATTCTAAGAGTGAAGTTCATATTTAAGTTGAAAGATAACATTAGGTATAAATTAGTAAGAAAACAAAGCTTGCCTAGATTTTATTACTTTATTTCCACATGGGTGAGATTTAAAATGAACAATGAAGACTGCATGAAGATTTAAAACTGTCAAAAGCTGATATTCATGTTAATATAATTTTAAAATGCTTTTAAAAACTTGTTGAATTTCATGATTCAAGACTGAGGCCAGCTGCCCCTTTTGCTGCCCCTAACCTGACCAAGAGGTTTGTTACCTCCTACTCTTCTGCTGCAATGGTCACTACCTCCTCCTTTCTTTGAATGAGGACAACTGTTTGCTGAAGTATGATGTATGGTTGGGTGAGAGGAAATGAACTTGGGTATCTCAGAAGCTGCAGTGAAGATGGTGACATACGAAGCTCCTGAACTTACTCCTTTCACGGACACCAAACTGACAACTACAGGCAGAAAAATTCACTCTGAAAGAAATCCAGAAACTAGCTGATTGACTCTTACTCTTTGGGGAAAATGAGAAAAAAAAATCCACATCAATGCAGGAAGGAGAGGCTGAGACACAATCTTGCCGTAAGCCCCAGCCATGGTGAAGCAACACAGAATAGGGAGAGATCTCACAACTCCCAGCTTCTCCTTAAGGAGTGATGAGTTTGGACTCCATATCCATCCATACATTGGAACCCCAACTTCTAAGACTTCCATGTGAGAGATGCGCTCCCAAACATCTAGTTTTGAAAGCCAGCAGGGCTTGGATCCACAAGACTCAGAAGGCTATAGCAAACTAGAAGACAATTCTTGAAAGGTTTGTGCAGACACACTGTGGCAAATTCCCAAGGGTCCAGAACAGAGGCAGCAAACTGAAACACACCCAGTCTTTTCATGAAAGAAGGCTGTTCATTCTAATAGCTATGGACTGAGGGGCAGCTTTCCAATTTAATACTGCAACACTACAGAAACCAAGAACTTGATGGTGTCATCTTGGCACTCTCCCTTTATTTTGTTTCAGAGTAAAGGTATCTCCTGGGGAACTTGTACACACATATGTGCCATGTTTTTTTCAGAGGATACCCCTTGATTGCATGGCTCCAATAGCCAACAGGGCTTAATTAAATTGATGGGTTCCATAGGACTGTAACAAACAAAAACTGCTACCTGAAGATCCAGCTTAAAACCATCTGACATCCAGGTGTTGACTGAGCTCTGCCTCTTTGGGACACTGATAGGTCTTGGCCCACCTTCAAATACTGGGGGCCATTAAGAACACACTACGCAGTTTCACAAAGAATTGGAAGACAGCCAAGAGGAAGGGCATGGCTGAATGGTAAAATTTATCTTTTATACAGAGGCCTCTTCTTCAAAACTGGGAGAGGTGGCTGTTTTGTCTAATTCATAGAAACCAGCACAGAAATGCAAGGAAAGTGAAGACACAGAGGAATATGTTCCAAATAATAGAACAGCATAAAACCTCAGAAAAAGACTTTAGTAAAATGGAGATAAGTGATTTACCTGATAAAGAGTTCAAAACAATGGTCACAAAGATACTCTCTGAGGCAGGAAAAGAATTCATGAACAAAGTAAAAATTTCAATAGGGAAATATAAAATATAAGAAAGTACCAAACTGAATTCACCGACCTGAAAAAATATAATCACAGAGCTAAAAAATTCAATAGAGAGAGTCAACTGCAGTGGAAGACAGGATCCAGAAGTTGAGAAAAAGACAGCAGATGTCATCCAATGAGAGGAGCAAAAAGAGAGAAGAATGAAAAAGTATGAAGATAGTTTAAAGACATGTATAGAACAACATCAAGTGGACCAATACGTATGTTGCAAGGGTCCCAGAAATAGAAGAGAGAGAGAAAGGAGCAGAAAATGTATTGAAAGAAATCATGACTGAAAATTTCTGTAACTTGGGAAGGACACAGACATCCAGATTCAGGAAATCTAGAGTTCCAAATAAGATGAACCCCAAAAGACCTACACCAAAACACAGAATTAAATTGTCAAAAGTTAAAGACAAAAAGAGAAACTTAAAAGCAATAAGAGAAAACTCATTTTGTACAAGGGAACCTCCCCTTCCCCCATAAGACTCAGGAGATTTTTCAGGAGAAATTTTACCAGTCAGAAGGGTGGCATGAATTAAAGCACTGAAAGAAAAAACTCCCAACCATGAATACTCTACCTGGCAAAATTTTTCTTCATAATTGAAGGAAAAATAAAGAGTTCTGCAGACGAGCAAAAGCTGAAAGTGTTCAGCACCAGTAAACTGGCTTTATAAGAAATGTCAAAGGGTCTTCTTTAAACTGAAACAAAAGAGTTGCTAATTATAACAAGAGAACATATGAAAGCATAAATCCCTCTGATAAAGGTAAAATACAGTTAAATTCAGGATAATCTAATGTAATGATGGTGTGTTCATAACCTATAAACTTATAAATGAAGAAAAATAATTCCATTTACAATTACATCAAAAAGAATAAAATATCTAGAAGTAAATTTAATCAAGGAGGTGAAAGACCTGTACACTGAAAACTGTAAGACAGTAACGAAAGAAATTGAAAAAGACACAAGTAAATGGAAAGAAATTCCATGTTCATGAATTGGAAACATTAATATTGTTAAAAAGTCCATACTACCCAAAACAGTCTACAGATTTAATGTATCATGTATTAAAATTCCAGTGTCATTTTCCACAGAAATAAAACGATCCTAAAATGTGGATTCAACCACAAAAACACCCTGTGTAGCCAAAGCTATCTTGAGAAAGAAGACCAAATCTGGAGGCATCTCACTTACAAATTTCAAGCTATACTACAAAGCTATAGTTAGCAAAACAGTAAGGTACTAGCATAAAAAGAGACACATAGATCAATGGAACAGAATAGAGGGCCCAGAAATAAACCCACACGTATGTGGTCAGTTAATTTACAGCAAAGGAAGGAGCCAAGAATAAACAATGGGGAAAGGACATTCTCTTAAATAAATGGTGCTGGGAGAACTGGGCAGCCACCAGCAAAAGAATGAATTGGGCCATTATCTTACCTCAAATGCAAATGCAAATGCAAAAGACTCAACAGTGAGATCTGGAGCCATAATCTGGTAGGAGAAAACAAAGGGTAAACTCTTTGACATTGATCTTAGTGATGAGTGCTTGAATTAGACATCAAATGCAAAGGCAACAACAAGAACAAAATACAAATGGGACTATATTGAACAAAAAGGAAGCAAAGGAAATTATTATTATAGAAGCTTCTCATAGTTGCTGACGTTAACTCCAAGATATAACTATATACTACTTTGCGAAGTAAATATGTCAAAAAACAAGGTTCTGATATGAGATGAAACTGAAAAACCT